AAAAAAAAAAAAAAGAGCAATTAAAAGTTACAGATGAACTGCTACACCTCCAGGATGCTTTAAGCCTTCTGGTTATTAATTCTGAGGACTCAGAAGGGCTCAGGGCTGGTCCGTAATTCCCAGGAATCTCATCCCTTCCACACTTCCAAAAGAGAGAGAGAGAGAGAGAGAGAGAGACAAGAAAAAGCATCCAGGTTTGACAGAAAAAAAAATGCCTAGATACACAATGCCCAGATATTTCTTTTCCCTAAGTGCCCTTTCTATTTGACTTTTAACCAACAATCTCTAACCCATCTAGAATATATAACCAGCATGCACAAGACCCTGGTTCTCAGAGGAGGCTCATCACACGGCAATTCAAGAATCATGCATCATTCGACAGGACTTTTCTTGGCTTTTTTACTTTCATTCAAAATCCCAAAATGGTCCAGGCTGTAAGAAATGTTTAATCCCCAAGGCAGAACATCTTCCTCTTCTAGAACACAAAACAGTGAACATCCAAATTTAAAAAAAAAACATGCTTCCCTAAAATCTGCAATTAATTTTTTTCTAAATTGGCAGGGGGAGGGAATGGTTAGCAGAGCAGCTTTGTATAAGCACTCACCTAAAACAGGCCGTCATCGGTGGCTAAGCTATTTATGCAGGATTCTTAAAATGGCGTCTGGCAACACTGCCTCATTCCTGGATTGAAGCTAAAATGGTAGCAGTTTGTTCAATAGCTGAGCCTGTGTCTAAGCAGCCCTGCTAGTTTCAAAGCCACCTTCCTAAATATCAGAACCAGGAGAAGCTCGACCAAAGGACACCAACAACCCAACGTTTAGAAGCTTAAAAAAAAAAAAAAAAAAAAAGAACCTGCAATGACAGGGAGAGAGAGTTTGTGAAGTCGCAGGTTCCTGAGGAAAAGCCTTCCCTTTCAGATTCTGAGCCTTCAACAGGAGGCTCTGGGATGGGGCCTTCTTGCCCTGGAACTAGGTGGGTGGAAGGTTAGGAATCACACTGGCAGACAGACAGGTGTCCCTGCAAACAGGAAATGTTCCCAGGGAGCAGGCTGGGGGTGGGGGCGGGGTGGGGGTGGGAAGAAGCCCACTCCCCCTTCTCAGTGCAGGGCGGCCAGCTCTGCATCCAGCCTGCAAGTGAGGTAAAATGAAAGTGCTTCTGGAACAGCAGGCATCTGGAGAGCTAAGCTGGAGGGCTGCACCCCAGGCTGAGGCCAAGGTAAAATTAAAAGGCTGGTTATAAGCCTGAAAACGGCCACCATCCACCCAGCCCTCTGCAGAGCCACCCCTAAGACGTGAACATCAAGGAAAGACAACCCCAGTCTGCAAAAGAGAAACCCCAAGTCGCACGTTCCCCTCTCCAAGGAACAGGATACTCACAAATTAGGTTTCTGTCCACCCCCAACAGGGCCCTGAGAATGAACAATAGGTTTTCCAAAACCCGTTTTCAGAGGCCAAACTAATAGCCTCGTGGTGGATAATGTCATTTACTGTTAAGGTCTGAGAATTGGCCTCAGGATTCCTCCAGAGCTGGGAATGAGGAGTTTCAAGGTGACTGCTTTTTTGCTCCAGGGGAGAAAGAGGGCACAGAGCCCAGGGCCAAGCCAGGGCGAGGACGGGCACAGTGCCGGCCGGTAGGTAGGTGACCGTGATGGGGAGGGCCAGCCTGGCAGGCTCAGGCTGCAGAGCTGGCGTGGCCACCGCCTGCTTGTTTGTCTGTAAGGAGAGCAGGGGGGGAAGGGCAGCCCCAGTGCAGCAACCTGAGGCCAAGGGTGAATCCTTACTTGTTTGTGCATTTTAAGAACAACTTGGGGCCTCCAAACAGGCCGGCTTTCAGGTCTCTGCTGCAGGGTGGGGAAGGCCCCCTTGAATGTATCTTTCTTTTCAGGGTCAACCAGAGGCAAAACAAGATCCAGGGCTGACAAATGTTTGGCTGCCTCTGCCAGAGTAGAGAAGGGGAGAGAAGGCCGAAGAAACAAAGAAGGTCACCCATTGGAAGTGGCTGGTCCTTCCAAAACCCACCCCTGCCTGCAGGTTTTGCCGGGTTACTGTCACCCAGCTTTCTAAAGAGTGACTCGGTCTTCTACTTCTAAGATCCCTACTGGCTCTCCCCAGGGAAAGAAAAGGGGGATGTTTTGTTTAAAAGAAAAGGGGTTACAAGAAAGAAAGGAAAATAACTATTGTTTTCATCCCTAATTTATAACCAAGAGGCCCTCATTGTTTCTTTCTTTCTGACTCAAATCTTTGAGCTGTTAATTATAAAAGTAGCTGGACTTGGCTCCAACGGCCTCACTATGTTCATGCTCAGCAATTAGAAAAACTCTGAAGAAAGTTTACTGAGTGATTATATATAATTAATTCCTAGTTACAGACTGAACACTGACCATTTTCTGGAGCTAATAAAAGCCGCTGCTTCCCCCTCCCCCACGTGAATACCACTTAATTTCCCAAAGCAGAAAGTGCATCCATCCTGGAGGGTCTTGGAGGAAAAAAAAAAAAAGGAATCAAAAGCTCCAGTGTGTCTGTGTTTGTTCCTTGCAGCTGTCATCCTCTTTGGGGACCGAGGAGGCAGAAGGAAAAAGGAAAACAGCCCATCATTCTGTTCCTCCCTCTGCAATTTACCAATGTGGCAGAAGAACATTCTACCTTGATGAGAGAAGCAAGGGGGGAGGAAGGGGGATGCCCGAGGAATGGAATGTAGGACTCTTCAGCCTGGGGAGCTGCTTTTCCTGAAAGGAACAAAGATGGTAGTAGAAATTTCCAGAACACCCCTTCTCAGTCCGGCCACTGCAATTGTCAATCTTTAACCTTTCCTCCCAGTCTATTGGTTCAAGAGCCAGAGAGAGGAAGCCCATTGGGCTGCTCCGTGGGCCCACACTGCTGTCTCTACCTCGTCCTGCTGCAATGCAGACATTCCTTCCCTTTAGGAACTGGGAAATAAGGGCTACTTTGAAAAGCAATTAACTTTTTACTGACCCATGCTTGGTGATGGCCACAGTACCAGAGGAAAAGTGACCAGCTTGATCCAGGGCTGGGAAGGTGCTGGGGCAGCACACTTGAAAACAGGTCTTAGCTTTCCAAACCTGTGGGAGCCATTTTAATGCAAGCTTTTAGAGAACCAATGCTCTGCCCTTAAGTCTCCTTGCAGCCCAACAAACACAGTATTATGCAAACACTGAAGGCACCAAACCAGGCGTCTTGTGATTAGATATTGCTTCTAGGGAGACCAGGAGAAGCTCAATATGAAATTTCCATTTAGAGCAAGGAGATAAGAACAAAGAAAATAGCTAAGAGTCTGAACTTAAGTTGGGGGGGGGGGCCTGTTCCATATAAAATATCACCACCCTCTGCGCTTTGACTCTAAGATTGCTGGCCCACCTTGACTTCAAATTAGAATCTGGTGCATTTCTCCTTATTCAATGCACCTTCATCCAACTGGTGTCAAAAGTTGGGAGGCTGGACACTACTTTAAAAAGAAAAAAAAAGATTAACTGACTTCATCAAGTTGGCATAACACAGATACTGAATATATTTCTAGCACTTAAAATCCTGCTGAATTGGTCTCCCAGCTGGAAATGTATGGAATGAATTTCCAAGGGAATTCTAAAGGTAACGCTAAGCAAAAGTTGACTTTTTTTTTTTTCTTTTCACTTTTAAATTCTAGCTACAGCATCCAGAGATCAGGGGAAAAGTAGAAAAAGACAAATAAAGCCGAGTCAGGCCAGCATGCTTACAGATGTGTGGGTCAGGTGTGGAAAAAGGCCAACTCTGTTGGTCAGTTGAGTCCTGAATGAAATCAAGTTTGGTGGTGGATGGGATTTTGCACTAAGTAACCCTAAAACTAAGTACTGACACAACCCACCCCCACACGCACACCACCAGTTAGCTCCCCGCCCCCCATGTTTGTAGGGCTCTGTGACTTAAGAACAAGCAGTTGCATTAACTAACAACAAGCAGACCTCCTACCCAGAGTCCTAAGATCCGAACAAACCCAGTTAAAGGTGTAGAAAGAAGCAAGAGACGATGCCCTGAACATTTCTCCCCTGGCTGAGGGTAAACAGGAAGTGAAATCTTCCCTCCTAGCTGCAGGTTATCAGGAAAAACAGTGGATGCAAACAGTCACCTAAACTCCAGACTCTCTTTTTAAAAGCTCTTATTTTGTTCCTGCTAATGAAGCCCCCAGCTGCTGTAGCCAAGACCCCCTCTTCCAAACAGACCCCAAATGTTCACAAAAACTCTGGCTACATGGTCACAGAGGAAATGGATTGCTTTACTTACCCAACAAATGTTCAAGTAACCGTCTCATTTTTCCACAGTTAGGAAGACAGAACAGCCTGGCAGATTTGGGACTTGATCAAAAACGAAATTGTTTTTAAACAGTTACATGGTATTATTAAAAACACACACCAGCACCACAACAATACAACCCAACAACTGGATAGGGAATGCTGTCAGGAGCCACAAACATGATTTTATTTCCTCTGCACTCTATCACACAGGAGCACAGAGGATGATACAATGTTTAAAACAAGGGAAAAAAATGAAAACAAAGATAAAAGATACATTAGTTCATTGAAAATCATGCAAGAGTAGAAAGCTGAGGGCTTCAGGGTCCTCCCAGATTTTCTTTCTTTCTTTCTTTCTTTTTTTTATGCAGGATGTTGTCCAAGATTCTCCCACCCCCCACCCCGCCCCCCAAACCCTATCCCTACTCCAAAAACTTCCTCCAGAGCCTAGCAAACACTTTCAGAAACATTTGCTGGCTGTAGGCTGGTTTGCAGAACACTCTGTATCAAGCTAAGTCAGGAGAAAAGGCTGAACAATGTAGTTTCAAGGGAGAAGCTCTGGAGAGGAAGAGAAAGAGGAGGCACGCACCCCGCCACCCACCTAGGCCCAGAGCTACCCTGGCTCCTGGCTGCTGTGCTGAGGGCTGGGCTCTCTTTCCAGCGCACGGCCTCTCTTGTCAGAACTTAGTCCAGCCTTCCCAGAACCTCTCTGGGAAGGCAAACTTGCCTGCTCTGCTGTCTGCCATGAGCGCTCCTTGGAGAGAAGCCTGCGTGTTCACCTTCCATTTTCTTCCCCCAGCAGGCATGTGACCCAAGAGAAGACAATAGTGCAGGGGAAACTGCTCAGGAGAGAAGGAGAGGGGAAGGGAGGGAAAGGAGGGGAAAAAAAGGAAAAGAAAGCTTCTCTCTTGGCATACCAGGGTCTAGCTTCAAACTATTCCAGAAACACCATGCCCTGGTGGAGGCAAAGGTGTGCCAGGCCCTTGCCAGGTTGCAAAACCAAGCTATGGCTAATGGCTACTCAGCCATGTGACCCAAGAAAGCAAAAAAAAAAAAAAAAAAAAAAGAAAAGGGAGAAAAAAAATCTCTCTAAAGAGTTCCAAGTTAACCTAAGTGCTCTGGGGTGAGTGTGGCACAGCCAGCCACAGAGAAGTCACACTGCTCGCCCACAACTCGGATGTCTCAGAGGGAGGGGGAAAAAGATGGTTAAAAAGCCGAGCTTACCTCTGTGGATGCATTGTTAACACTGTGTAATGTCAATACTTATAAAACATGGAGGACAGGCTCCTAGTTCTCACAGAAAAAGGGTTTGGCACTTCGGCTGATGATCTGGCCGCCTAATAAAAGCTCATCCCCGATTGGCTGCACCGGCCAATCGGAGTGTAAAGCGGCCCCGGATTGGCTGAAACACTTCCTGAGCGATTATCTTTGTGAGGCTCGGGTGAGCCAGAGCCATCCTGTGCATAGAAAAAGACAGGCTAAGCTAGGCCTTCTGCGGCAAGAAAAACTTGGGAAAGGGGCCCCCGCACGCACTTCTCCCACACCCTGGCTGGATTCCCCGGCACTGGCGAACCAGTGCGGCCAGCCTGACCTGCTCCTGCAGAGCCCGAGGCCCGGAGGCCACTGGGAAGGCAGCATCTGGGGTGGGCTGGAAGGGCTCACCCTCACCTGGCCCCACGGCCCTGGCCTGCTCCTAAGGAGAAAGGCTGGCCCTTCCCTACGGCGAGCCGGCAGAGTGGTTCTCCAAGGGGAATGCTGAGCAGGAGCGAGGAGTCCAGGAAAGACTCAGAGGGACAGGAGAAGGGCTGGAGGGAGGCCTCAGAGCAGCTCTGCTGCCAGCCCCAGGAAATCAGCCCCAGGCCGCCGGGCTTCTCCCAAGACAGCAGCCGGCCACTGAGGGGAGGAGGGGAGCAGGGGAGCGTGGTCAAGTCTGCACAGTCATTGTCAAAATGCCTCCTGGAAAAGCAGGCCACAGAGCAACTGCCGGCCAGGCCAGAGTCTAACCCCTGGCCCCCCTCGGTCGGTCCTCAAAGGAAGAGCAAAATGGTTCCTGCCTCCCTGCCAAGCTGCCAAGGGGGGGCCCTCTCCTGCTTACCCTAAGAAAAGCCAAATCCGTCCCTAGCAGGCCACAGGCCTCCACCTACTAACTTCCCTTCCCCTCCAGCCCCCTCCCCCACCCCTGAGGCCTGCTAAACCTGTCAGTTAAACAAAAATCTGACTTCCGTATTAGTCTGCTATGGCTGCAGCTTCCTGCCTGTTAACCCTCTCTCGGACTCTGGGTCTGGCTGGGAAAAACGAGGCCCTGAGATCGCAGAAAAGGCCTGTGGAAAAGTACCAGCTGCAGCTCGCCGGGCAGATGCAGAAAGAGAGAGAGAGAGAGAGAGAGCCGCTGTCTCTCGCCTCTGCTTCCCGAGGAGGCGTGTACCTTCTGAATCCAGGGCACAGGCAGTCTGCCTCTCAGTCTGAGAAGCCATTTAAATCCAGAGGGAGAAAGAAAGATGTCAAACCCAGCCAGGAAACAAGCACCCTTATTACAGTGGGGCCTGCACACCCACAGGTTAGCCCTTCCCGCCACTCCTCCCTGAAGTGTGTTCTAGGGAACTGGGCCCTCCTCAGGGGCACACAAATCCCAAGAGCTTCATAAAGATTCTTGCTTCGATTTATGTCCACGGAGACCGGCTTCTTTGGGCTCCGAAGGCAGATGCAACAGCTACACAGACCTACACTTGGTGGCCCCTCCCGCCCCCCCATCTCCGGCACTGCTCCCCAGTAAAACATTAACTAGTTTTTCCGAGCTGCTTATAATTCCACCCATCTCCATAGTATTAGGAGGCCAGAGCCTGTTTCTTCCTAAAGCTGCCTTTGTGGAGAAGGCAAAGGAAAGGCCAATCCAAGTGGATCTTAAAAATGTTCAAGGATGCTTTCTTTTTCTGCATTTATTTTATTTTTAAACAATCAGGTGCTTAAAAAGACTTGTTTTTAAAAAACGCAAGCCGGAACAACAGAAGGTAAATAAATGCCTTTCTTTACGAGATACCCTGAAGTCTCCTCTCCTTCGGAAAAGAGGACTTGTGGACTTTCTGGTCCCACACCATCCCACAAAGAAAGCCAAGAGCAGATTGCTTGCTCTCCCTGCCCCCGCCCCCAGCGATGCCTAGAGCGTGTGTGTAAATTCTTCCTGGCTGGGAATCTTAGAATCAGGATCTGGCCGGGGATCCAAACCCACTGTACTGTAGGACAGGCCCAGGCTTTTGAAAAGGGACAGGATTTCGTTGTTTCAGGTTGCTGAGGCTGAGATGTAGCCAGTTGGGCTGACAAAGATCCAGCACCCAGTGCAACAGGCAGAGGCCTCACCAGAAGGGAGAAGCCAGCTCTTCCTGGGGAGGGGAACTTCCAGGGACCAAATGGCAGAGGCCTGAGCCGTGGAGCTGTGCTCTCCTGGCTGTGCGGGCGGCAGCCCTCCACCATCCCACTGGGAACACGGTTTCGGCGGGTGCTGCTTTTGGGGGATCCAACAGGATGGCGGGGCTGGTGGCGGATCTGATGTGCAGCTAACTTCCAAGACCCGATGAGGAAATGAAAGCGGCCGCGGGTGCGCGCGGAGGATTTTAACCCTGGATTAAAGCTTGTTGCATAAGCAGCTGCCGCATCCTCCCCGCCCCCCCCCCCCCCTCCCCATCGCTTGATCACTTGAAATGTTTTCTGGGGCAAAGAGCAGGAAGCTGCTGGCTTATTCTGGCAGCTCAGCTCCGTTGGAGGAATGCTGCTGGCATTCGGGTAGGTCTGAGGTTATCTGGGAAAACGACAGCTCGGCTGGGGACCGAGACAAAGGTATGGTGGCAGATGGAATCCTGGGAGGGATGCGGATTGAAGAGGAAGCCAGGCCCGGCCTGCTAAGGGTCATTCCTGGACCTGGTGGAATGTGGCTAAGACACAGGAAATAAGGAAAGCCAAATGTTGCAGGCCTCAACCTGGAGACCCATTTCTATCCCTTCTTAAAGCCTGGGTGCGGTGACTATTAAATGAGTGTCGCACAGACTGATTCCATGTCCTTCATTGTTAGGAACCTGGAAGTGGGCCCAGAGAGGTGAAGGAGCTACCCAGCGTCACACAGCTAGCAAGTGCTGTCACTCAGACTTCCAACCCAACTATGACCTCATATCCCTAAAGCCTGTACCTTGCCCTGCCTCTCGACTCAAAAGCAGAGCTAAACCAAGCTCAGCAGAAACAAAAGGTTCAATTCTCCCAACATCAAATGCAACACCTGAGCTTTCTTTCAGGAGGTCCACCCCTTGAGATGCCCCTTGCGCTTTACCCAAAGGAACTGAGTGAAACTTTACATTAGACTCATCCAGCCCCCCTCAGTACTGACTGGGGCCCAGAGAAAGCGCCCCTCCCCCTAGGAACCTCCAGCAAGGAGATTCCGCTTGACCATCTCTAAAATGCTCTCTAAAATGCGCCTTTTACATTTCTTGAAATCTGTGGTTCTCAGCCAGGGGCGATTTTGCCCACCACCTGGGGGAGCAGGGTGGGGGTCTTTGGCAATGTCTGGAGAGTTTTAGACTGCCACCACTGCGATGGGGGCAGATCCAGCATGTAATGGGAGGTCAGGGATACTGCGGAATACCTAGCGTCCACGGGAGAGCCCCCACACAACTAGGAATTATCGGATCCAAAAGGCCCATTGTGCTGGGGCTGGGAATCCTTGGCTTAAATGAAAGGGAAACCATTTGCCTCTGGATGAAAAAGCCAGCACAGGCCTAAACAAGTAGGTTCCTTGGTGATATTAATAAGCAATGAGCTAATAAAAATAGATTAAAACGTGTCTCTCTTAATATTCCCAGGGGACAGAGAGAAGGGGGCGGGGGGAGACAGTGTCCCAGCAGTGAGGCTGGTCCCAGCTCTTGCCCAGGCACCTCGCTGGCCAAGGCCTGGCCTTGCCGAACGGCTCCCCCCCCACGCTGGCAGGCGGCCAGGCGGGCAGCAGGAGCGGCAGCCCAGGCAGGCTGCATCCCCAGAGATAGCCAGTGTGGCTGCCTCTGAAGAGAAGCCACTCGGAGTTATCTGCCCCCAACTTGCGGCAGGCTTGTCCATTATGTGAAAGGGACAGGACCGAGGCAGGGAGTATTTGAAATATCTTGTTTTGTTTTGTTCCTTTTGGGCCAAAGAGAATCCAGGCCAACGTTGGGCATGACGACAGAAAGGCTCATCTCCAGAGCGGGGAGCCATGGCCACGTGACGTGAAGGCTAGGAAGCCGCAGCCAGGCCCTGACCCTCCCTGGGAGAAGCTATCTACCCTTGGTGGGGGGGGAAGGTTTTGTTTGTTTGTTTTGTTTTGTTGGGTTTTTTGTTTGTTTGCTTGCTTTTACTTCTTTCTAGGAGGAATTGGCAGGATTAGCGGCAGGGAGGGCCTGGTACAAAGGGCAGGCGGTGGAGGGACTGGCTGTGCCCCATCAGGCAGATGGCCCGGCACCAGAAGGCAAGGTGTGAGGTGCAGGGACAAAATAAAGCCTCCAGCAGGCAGGCGAGGAGTGGCCACTGTCTCCTAACAGCCATGGCGGTTTGTCTCTCTCCCTCCAGAGTGTGGGGGGGTGGATTTTGCCTCCCAAGGGACATTTGGCAATATCTGGATACACTTTGGGGTGTCACATGTAAGGGATGGAGTCCAAGGTTCCTGCCAAACATCCTAGGAGGTGGTTGGGGTAGCAGGAGGCCCTGGGTTCAAGCCCCAGTACAGGAAGGAAGGAGGAAAGTTAGAGAGGGAGGGAACCCTGCAGCAGGCTAGACTGCCCCACCCAGAGCATCTGCCAGGCACCACTGAGGCTGGGAGACTGCACTGTCAGGGGGCTTCAAGGAAGAGCATGGTCCGAACTCTTCAGCGGGAGCCAAACACTGGTGGCCGCTGTGGATTAGAGCTCTGTCCCCGCCATCTGCCCTGGATGTCCCAAACAGCCTCTGCCTGAGCCCCCGGCTCTGCCCTTGCCAATGCTGTCACAGGCAACCCCTGCACACACAAATCAGATCTGTCCCTCCTTAGTTCAGAGTCACCTTCCCAGTGACAGCCCAAGTCCTGAAACTGGCCTGCCATGGCCTCACCTGCCAAGGCCCCTCCCATCTCTGATGTCCACCTCCCCCACCTTCCCTGGGCTCACTCTGCTCCAACCACTTCCAAGGTGAAGTTCCTTCGGTTCTTCCTCCCTCCCTCTCTGGGGCTTCTGCACTTCCTCACTTCCCCAGACCCCCTCTCAGCAGGCCTCCTCTCCTAAGCCTTCCCTTGGCCTTGACCACCTCTTCCTTCCTGCTTCAGAGAGGATTCCCGTGCATCACCACGGGCTTTTCCGCCTGAGCCGAGCCCCGCAGCCAGCCACGTCTCTGTTGCACCCTGAATCTTCTTCCTCTCTTCCCCACATCAAGAGGCAGAGCTACGCAGCGGTGGGTGTGCGGTGGGGTGTGCGGTTGCGTTTGACGGTCTGGCTCTGGGTCCCAGCTGCCCCACCTGCCTGCCAGCTGCAAGACTTTGCTGGAGGTGTGCAGTTCTCTGCCTTGATGTCCTCATCTGCACAGTGGGAGCAATAGTGACACCCACCTGGGAGCATGCACTGTGAAGCACTGTGGCGACACCCCAGAAACACTGCTCATCACCGTGTCCTCCTCTGCTCACCTGTAAAAAGGTGTTTTCTGGATGCTTCTAACTCGCTCTCCTTCCTCCTTTCACCATGACCTTTCCGAAGGGGAAAATGATAAGCAGCGATAGCTGGCATGTCACAAGGCTGGCGCTGCTCCAGGCACTGTTTCCAATTGGGACATGAACAACCCTTGGAGCCTCACATCTCTATGAGCTGGGCACCAGTATAATCATCAACCCCATTTCCTGAATGAGGAAACTGAGGTAGGAGCTACTGACACACTACTTCCACACCACGACTAAGAGGCTGCTTGAACAGATGCCGTCCATCCTGCCACCCAACAGGACCCTACGCAGCCAGCCGTGGAACAAGAATCTGCTGCGCAGGCGCAGTGGTCCATGCCTGTAATCCTGGCTGCTAGAGATGAGCGGGAGGACTGCAAGATCAAGGCCAGCCTCCCATATGCCAGGCTAGTCTCTATCACTGAACTATTTCCCAGCCTTTTTAAAACTTTTATTTTGAGACAGTCTTGCTGAATTGCCCAGGCTACCTTGGCACTTGAGACCCTCCTGTCTCAGCTTCCCGAGTAACTGGGGTTGTAGGTGTGAGTCACCACTCCCAGCTGTTTTTTTTTTTTTTTTAAAGGCAACTGTGTGTGTGTGTGCGCGCGCGTGTGTGTGTGTGTGTGTGTGTGTGTGTGTGTGTGTGATGTATTTGCTGATGATGCATAGTCTCTTCTCGGAAGCACACTTAAAACTGCTAACACAAAGCCATCCTCAGCAACTCAGCGACACCCTGTCTCTAAATTTAAAAAAAAAAAACCGTGGGGGGGGGCGGGGGGGGTTGGCACTGGGAATGTGGCTCAGTGGTGAAGCGCCCCTGGGTTCAGTCCCTGGAACCAAATACAAACAAACAAAAAAAACCTGTTAACAATGGTTGCATCCAGGAGTCCTGGGTGACAGGTGAGGGATGGGACACTTTTCACCACCACACCCTTTTCTTTCTTTCTTCTTTTTATTTTAACATTATTTTTTAGTTGTAGGTGGACCAATACCTTTATTTAACTTTATGTGGTGCTGAGGATGGAGCCCAGGGCCTCGTGCGTGCCAGGCCAGCGCTGCCTCTGAGCCCCAGGCCCAGGCCACCACGTCTTTTTCCACCTTTTGCATTTCAACTGCATAAATGTGTTACTCTGTTCACTATAAATTAGTAAATTTAACATTGGGTAAAATTGTAAATTGACCAAAACAAAGATCAGCGTGTGTTCGGTTCAGTTTTATCTGCACTTTTCTTTCTTTTTTTTCTTTTTGTTTGGTGCTGAGGGTGCTGATCCTCCCCCCAGGGCCTCACAGGCACTCAACCACCAAGTCACAGCTCCCCTTCATTGTTTTTGAGCTATTACTGTGAGTTGTAGAAGTGATTCTTGTCCTTAGACATGCAAATTTAGTTCCTTGGAATGCAACCAATTATTGCCAGTTTTTGCATCTCCTTGTAAATTTATTCACATCCTTATATGTGCAGTACTTTAAATCCATCTTTAGATCAGATGTAACATCTTACTAGTTCCCTCATTCATAAACACATAAACAGTGCTTTTCTTTCTTCTTTTTTTTTTTTTTTTGGTGGTACTAGGGATTAAGCCCAGGGACACTTTACCACTGGGCTATCCCTAGCCCTTCTTTTTTATTGGGGGGTAAGGGTACTGGGGATTGAACTCCAGGGGCACTGGACCACTGAGCCACCTCCCCAGCCCTATTTGGTATTTTATTTAGAGACAGGGTCTCACTGAGTTGCTTAGGGCCTCGCAGTTGCTGAGGCTGGGTTTGAACTCACAATCCTGCTGCCTCAGCCTCCGGAGCCACTGGGATTGCAGGCGAGTGCCACTGCGCCCTGCTAATGCTGACTTCTTGTCTGTAGCTTCTGCTTGGAAGGAGCCCACAGCTGAACAGAGGAAGCAACCGGTACATGAATAACATAAACGTCACATTGAACCAGGCGTGGTGGTGCACACCTGTAATCCCAGCAACTAAGGATGCCAAGGCAGGAGGACCATGAGTTCAAAGCCAACCTCAGCAATTTAGCGAGGCCCTAAGCGACTTAGAAAGACCATGTCTCAAAACAGAACATTAAAAAGACTGGGTACATGGCTCACCATTAAAGTACCCCGGGTTCAATTAAAAAATAAACAAATAAAAGAAAAATTCAAATCCTTTGCTGTAAACAGGCAGAGGGATGAGACGGGAAGTGACATGGGAGCAGGTGGGGGAAGTTCAAGTGAGGCTTTGACACTGGAGCTGAAGGCAGGAGCTTCCAGTGGACAAGCAGCCCCCCAAAGGCCCTGAGGCCTGAGCTTGATGTCAGAGGAACAAAAAGGCCCAAGTGGCATCAGGGAGAGGTGCAGAGGGCCTGAGCATGAAGACGTGATCAGACACAAGATCACCGTTTCCTCCACCATCCCCCATTCCTCAGACTCAAAAACTTCCAGAATGTTCTCCTTCCCATCGACCCCCACTCTCCTCCATATCCAGTCCATCCAGATGAAATCCTCATAAAAAGATAATCGAGACATGCCCACACGGGACCGAGCTGCACGCAGGGTGACCGTGGCTCTTCACCCTGCAGCTGCACAGCTCCAGGTAATTCCCATAACTACCTGGTACCCTTCTCCATGTGAAGGTAGGAAGCGTGCCTCCTGGTTAGCTCACAGGGCTGCACTGAAGAGGCGGTGGAAACAAAGCACTGAAAACTCACGTGGCTACAATCACTTTCATTGCTGACTTAATAAAAAGGGGGGCTGGAGATGTGGCTCAGTGGGTAGAGTGCTTGCCTTGCATGCCCAAGGCCCTGGGTTCAATCCCCAGCACCACAAAATAAATAAATAAATAAACCCTCCAGCAATTCTCCACCAATTAAATGACACCAGGACTCTCCCAGTGAAGCTGACTTTCCTGCCCCTCCCCCCTGCTCTCCCCCTTCCCCAGGGATGACACACAGGGCAGGGTTCCCTCAGGACTCTACCTGAGGAAAGAGCTCCTCTCTCCAATCCCAGGTCTAGACAGCCTTTCCTGATTTCTCAGCTACAAGGCCGCGTAGTTCCTGAGTCCCTCACCCCAGGCATGTAGCCCTGCCAGTATGACCTAGCTTGAGTAGCTGCTGGGACAGGAGCCATGACTGGCTCCTCTGCTGGGTCAGCAG